CTGAGCACCACAAAAATCACGACCTCGATAAATTTTGGGCCGGTCTAACGAATATACACATCAGGAAAAGTAATTTTTGGACAGAGTTTGGATAAATTTGGTACAGTCAACAAACATACGGAAAGAATGCATGCATACACAAATGGACAGAGGAATATTTGTTGTTGGCATTATTGTATCAGATTTGATGGAAACGGAATGGAATGCGATCGCTTGGATTTTTGTAAGCCAACAGAGGTTTACAAAACAAAACAAATTCGGATTAAAATTAAATTGTTTGTTTCGTTTGCGCAAACTGAAGCATTACTGACACACAATCAGAATTCGTTCATAACTGTGTCAATGGAATAGGACAGAGGAATGTTGATTCGAACACATTTGTGTCGAATTATTTTAGGAATTGTATTGGAAAATGTTAAAATCAATTAAATTGGATAGATTTCAGATGATTTTGTCAAACTGAAATGGATTTAAGGATAGATGAGACACATTTAATGAGATTGAAACATTCACTGCACTGTTGCTCAAATCAAAAAGTTTATATCATTTGGAATTAATTGGAATTTATTCTTTGGAATATTTTAGATCAAAACAATTCGCCCGTCACTTCATCAGCTACGCTGTCACGCGGCACTACTGTAACGGTAACAGCCACACAGGCACCGATTATAAATGCAATCCCAACGCAGGCTGGCCCAAGTGGTGTGAATACAGCAACAACACCGGCGGCAGTAACATCAAGTACTGTTGCATCGAATACCGCAGTTGTTTCACAAACAAACATGCCACTGATGTCAGCCAGCACAGGTAATGGCCGCACAAATCGAAGTCAGGAGACGATTGGTGATGGAACAAATGATCGGATGAGTGTGGATGGCCTTAGTGACGGCGACAATTTGGAAGTACAAGCAACAGCTCAGGAGAGCAAGCATTCAAAGCATTTCAAATCGGCACAAGCTGCGATGAATCGCCTTGCTGATTTTGCAAACTCGGACAGAATGAAGACAGCAAGCTATGAAGCGCTGCAAGTACGCAACGAGCGGCTCATAGAGATATGGGAAGGTGCAAACGCATCATTTGATCAATTGATCGAAGGAATTAATGGAGGGACAGGAATTGAAATCTCATACGAGGACGTAATGGGATTATTGGAAGATTCATATTTCGAAATCAGTGAAAAATTTCGATCAAGAATGGCGGAATTGGAACGTGAGCGTGCGAATCAATTTGCTCAAAGTAACCCAGCCAGTGAAGCAGGAGGTTCAACTGGAGAGCGACCAATCAAAGTTATTGTACCAGTACAACAGCAAAATATAGTGAATACATGGGGAACATTCGATGGCAGACCAAAGGATTGGCCAGCTTTTCGTGACTTCTTCACCATTGCCGTTCATAACAACAAGGATGTTGAAGATGGTTACAAACTGTCTTATCTGATGAAATCGCTTAAAGGAAAGGCAAAGGAAACACTCGGACAAGGTTTTGTGACCGGAGGCAGCTATCAACAAGCGTGGGAGCGCATGATGGTTGTCTACAACAATGCATACAACATTGCACGCGATTACATGCGTGATTTTTATCGTTTGCCAGTGCTGCAAACACCAGCCAAAGCGTCGGAATTGAAAAAGATGTCAGACATCACTCACGAAACCATTCGTCAGCTTAACGCTTTGGAATTACCGGTCGAATCATGGGATTTCGTGTTTGTACACAATTTACACGAACGCTTGGATCAGGAGACCGCGCGATCATGGCAAAAACGCTTCGGCAAGGAACTTGGCCTACCGCATTGGAAATGACAGAATTTTTGGACAGAGAGGCGGCGGCAGCCAGACCGATCGATGAGGAACGTAGGACGTTGCAAATATCGGTAAGCAACAATCAAACGAGCCGATCAAACAATGCTTCGCGCAATCAATCGCCAGCTCGCAGAACCGGTACCATTCCAAAACAGTATCCGTGCGAGGCGTGTCCACCTGGCAGCGGCCAGTACCATCCAATTTGGGAATGCCCCGAATTTTTATCGCTGTCAATCAGTGCTCGCGCCGATTTTGCGGAACGACGCCGGTTTTGCCTAAACTGCCTCAAAAAGGGCCACACAAAGAACGCTTGTGACAGCATTCGCTGCCGATTGCCACAATGTCAGCGTGACAATCGACATAACAGCCTTCTGTGCCCACATAAGCAAGGCGGAAAACGTACCTTTGCAAATGTCGGAACCACCAATGAAGCTGATGCATGACTAGATGTGGCCCCATCAAAGAAACAGAAATTGAAATCAGGAAAGAAGAACAAATCAAAAAATCAAAACAAAAGGACGGACAGATTGCAAAACAAAAAGACGGATAGATTGCAAAACAATTCAAAACAAAGTGAGATATTCAAAGGTAAAATGGATGTCGTCAATGGACAGTTAGATTTATTGGGTAAGAAGGAAAGATTGTTATCGGAAGAAATGGATCAAGTTCGCAAAAGAAAGAACGAATTAAACTGTAATTTTGGGAAAGAAAGTAAAACAAATAAATCGAATTGTTCTTCATTACCATACACCAATGACTTTAACTTAGAAACAAAGGAAAGAGACACTTTTTTACCAACAGCAGTAGTTAGAGTGGCAATAGGATTAAACAAATTCGTAGGTGTGAGAGCCTTCATGGATACGGGTGCTCAACCGAATGGCGTAAGTTTTAGCTTCTTTGATACCAAACTGAAAGAAAACTTAAATCCAGTGCAAATGTCACGCCGAATGATAGGAATCAATGGTCAAACATTTGCAATACGTCACAAAGTCACATTGAAAGTCCATTCATGGTTTGATGATGACTTATGGGAAAGAGCTGTTTTTTGGATTATGCCAAAGGATTCTGGCTGGGGTTTGTATATGCCCGACAAGGAATTAAATCCATTTAAAATTAGGAATGAGAGTGATGTACCCTTTGCTGATCCGAACTACTGGCGTCCAGAACAAGTGCATTTACTGTTCGGTGTTGGATTCTTTGCTAGGATCATAGTGTCAGTGGTGGATAGGACAGTGAATGGTACTGCTCTAATGGAAACTAAATTCGGAGTCATCATATTCGGAGTGGATTCCGAGGAGGATTTAGATGATTTAGAGCAATTAGGAATTGGACAGACAAATGCGATGATCGAATGTAAAAACGAAATAAATTTGGATAAGTTATTGGAAAGGTTGTGGCAGCTAGATCAGGTGCCAACAGCTGCGAAAATGACAAAAGAGCAGATGGAAGTTGAAAAACATTTCATAGACAATTTTAGGAGAGACGAATCAGGTAGATTCATTGTTTTAATCCCATTGAAACAAAACATTGGATGTTTTGGGAGCTCAAGGGAAACTGCATTAAAACGTTTTCTCTATTTGGAACGGAAATTTGCAAGGAATGCAGACGTGAAGTTAAAATATATCGAGAAAATGCGTGAGTCAATTCGCCTTGGCCACTTGGAACGAGCTTGGGAAAGACCAAAACCGGGTGATCTAGTTTACTACATTCCGCACCATGCCATTCCAAAAGATGATCGCGTTGTTTTTTACGCTAGTTGCAAAACCGATATGGGAATATCGCTCAATGAAATTCAATTGCTGGGAGCTAAATTACAAAAGGATTTGTGTCAAACGATAATGAGGTTCAGAAGACACAAGATCGCAGTGTACCAAACTGTGCTTTTGACCGGCGCAAGATAGCGGTGGCGTCTATTCGCAATTCGCGGAATTTTTAAGAACTATCAATACTTGTTGTTGTTTTCATGAATTTCGCAACAACAAGAAGTATTGGTAGTTCCTTAAGTTGCCGCAGATCCTATTTAGGCGCTACCGCTATTCACTGTCACGTCAAATACATTGGTTCTTATGGGAGAGAAGCACAGGTTGCAGTGTACGCGGACATTAAAAAAATGTTCAATCAGGTGAAACTGGACAGAAGTCAATGGAATTTACAAAGGATTTTCTGGAGAGAGACTGCCGATGAGCCATTACAGGAGTATTGGTGGAAGGTAGTCATTTTTGGAATGACATCCTCAGCACATTTAGTAGTGAGGTGTGTCATGCAAGCCGCTACGGAGGAAGAGAAAAGTTTTCCAACGGCTGCAAAAGCAATCAAAGAGGACTTTTATATGGATGATTGTGTAACTGGGACAGATTCAGAACAAAATGCAATACAGCTCGCTGAAGAGATGAATGGCATATTGAAACGAGCTGGTTTCGAGCTCAGGAAATGGACATCAAACAGCAAAGATGTCAGAGAGGTGATGAATTCGGACAGTGAAAAAGCAATGCTTTTTAAGGAGGAAGAGAACTCAACCATTTTAGGATTGAAATGGCTGATTGAAGAGGACAGATTTACCTTTGTGGTGAAAAATCCGTATTGGGATGGAAAGATATCAAAGCGCAAGATCGCAAGTCTTGTTGCGCAGCTTTATGACCCAAGTGGATATATAAATCCTATCACAGTAAGAGGGAGAATGTTCATTCAAGAACTATGGAAAGCAAAGGTCGGATGGGATGACACTTTGGACGAAACACTAAGAAATAAATGGACAGAAATTTGGAAAGACATTAAATCTGTTGAGGAATTCAAAATCGATAGATGGTTAAGCACAGGAAAAGAAGTCAACATACAGATTCATGGATTTTCGGACAGTAGTGAGCAAGCATACGGAGCTAACATATATGTTAGAGTAGAAACTATTGATGGGAAAATCAAATGCAATTTGCTCACATCAAAATCTCGGGTAGCACCGGTGAAAACGGTAGCTCTACCGAGATTGGAATTGACAGCAGCTGAGCTGTTGTCCAGGTTAATGACAGAGATTGTCAAACAAATGGAATGGCCTACAGTGGAGAAAGTTCTTTGGATAGATTCAAGTGTTGCATATTTTTGGATAAGGAAAGAACCTTGCACACTGAAAACATATGTGGCGAACAGAGTTGCGTCAGTTCAGGAGAATACAGCAATTGAAAACTGGAGACACATTGATGGGACAGATAATCCAGCTGATTTGTTGACAAGAGGTGTGTCACCATCAGGATTGATTGACAACGATTTATGGCTACATGGACCGAGTTGGTTGTTGCTACCGCAATCACAATGGCCTATCTCTAGTATCATGCAACAGCCACCTGAAGAAGCGATGGTTGAATTGAAAGTGAATTCGTTCAGTATATTCAGAGATCAGTTGCGGATTGGAATAAAAGGGACAGACAAAAACGTTCCGCTATTGGAATACACGAGCAAGCTGGAAAAAGCGATAAACATTATCTGCTATGCCAATCGGTTCGTAAAAATTTGGTTGAGCAAAGCAAAAGCAAGACCAAAAAGGAAGAAAAGAGGACAGATTGTACGGAAGATCGACCCACCGACGAATGCGGAGAAGACATTTGCAATGAAGCATTTGATTAGGAAATCACAGCAGGAATATTTCAACAGAGAAATAACTGCATTAAAGGAGAATCGGAGTTTACCGGAAAAAAGTAAATTGGAACAGATGAAGCCGATTTTAGACGAAGAGGAATTGCTGCGACTGGGAGGTCGCTTGGACAGATCTGAATTGGACTATGAGATGAAACATCCATACATAATTCCTCATGGATCGCGTCTGGCTCATCTTGTAATGGAATATGCACTAGGGTGGATCGATTTTTAAAATCGTACAAATTCAAAAATGGACACTGCGCGTTCGTTTAGGCACCTCAAAAGAAGAAACTTTTGTTCTGGGACATATCCAGAAAAG